CATAATAGCAGAAACAAAAATTCACGGATTATATACTTGAGAAGTATATGTTACTGCTGTGTTAATTCCATGCAAATGTCAACCTCACCATGAAAAAAGTAGCCTAATTTGTAATAATACTTATTTAAAATACATAAGCAAGGGTTTTTTTTTTAATGAAGTATTAAATTAATTTAAACGCACTATTGTTAGGATTAATATTAATGATGTGTGAGTCTATTAAACACTAATAATACCTGCTAAGGTGTAAACACAGAGCCTGTCAAAACACTATTTGTGCAAATGCATGTTTTTCTTCACTAGAGTGAAGAGAGACAATGCTGTGAAAATATTTTTTTTCTATTAACTAAACTGTCTGACTTTCTGAGTGGGAACAGATTCATTACTAACCTGCCTGTGTATCAGCGGGTTTCTGCATCACTATGGAAACCTGCTGGTGAAGATTCTCAGGTCATAGTCCAGGTCATAGTCAAGAAAGTAAAAAAAAAAAAAACAGTCCACTGGACTTTGTTTGAAGACGTTTCTCTGCCCATCCAGGAAGCTTTTTCAAATAAAAATGTCAGAAACAGTGTTGAGTTTGATACTTTATAGTGTGGACCAAAAACAAATCCTTGTTTTGGCTTAGAAAACATGCGAAATGAATCTGATGACAAGGTCCACCCCTTTAAAAAGGGGGTTGTTTTGTCTCTTTGTTAGCCTGGTTGAGCCAAGCCCGAAACCTGTCTTTGTCTCTGAAAGGGGGTCATTAAAGAGAATTGTTGGCCTGTCTATGTCTCTGAAACCCCTATTTTCAGGGACATAGACAGGTTTCGAGTATTACAGGCTAACAAAGAAGCCAAACCATGTCATGATCTTGGCGCTGATGGTTTGTTTTTTTTCCTTTGCTCCTTGCTCAGCTGTCTAATTGGTTCTGCGGCTGATTAACACCGATCATTTCCACCTGGTTCCTTGCTCTTTATGTTGTGTGTTTGCCTCCCATCAGCGCCAGGTTATCCGAGCGTTTTGGTGAGACTAACTCTAGCCTTCTGAAGTCGTTTTCCTGATTGGGACCAGTTTCTGCCCTGTGGATCCCGAGTTTTGCCTTGCCCCTGTCTGCTCTGTTTGTCTGATCTGTTTCCTGGATTCTACCGGCTGCTGAACCTGGACCTGTCTTCTGACTCCGGCTGTGGATTTCCCATTTGGACTCGGTTGCTGTTTGGCTTCGGCTGGCGCCTGGGGGGGCGACGCCCGCCGCAACTGCGGTCTAACCCCCCCTCTGGATTCAGCTGTGTTCTCCATGAACAGACAGAACTTTGAATCAGGTCAGTGACTTTGCTTCAAGTCGTATTCAGCTCCTCATGCAGTCACTGACCTGTATCTCCTATCTCTGCAGAGATCCGCCCCGCAGCAGACCAGCAGCCCTGCGCTCCTGTTTGTATTAATAAACGCTTTGAACTTTCCCACTGCCTGTCTCACCTCGAATTCTGGGTCCAGCATTCTGAGATCATTACAGACGACCCCCATTCCAAAGGGGTGGACCCGTTTATCCGTTTCTATTTGCATGTTTTATAAACAAAAACAAGGCTTTGTTGAGCTGCTGTATAAAACCTGGAACTCAATGCTATTTCTGACATTTTGAATTGAAAAAGCTTCCTGGGTGGAAGAGAAACGTCTTCAAATTTGGAAACAAAATCCGGCGTTTGTTTTTTAACTTTTTTGGAATCACTATGTAAATCAGTCATGTTCTGTGTCTTTCCTCTGGCAGGTGGAACCTGCTTTTATGGTGAGGATTTCTAGGACGACCCATAAAACAGTTTTAATAAAACATACATTTAAAAATCAGCCAAACTTTCTGAGCACACCTAACATTTACTAAGATGACACATTTTTGTGTCATCTTAGTAAATGATGTATTATTTCATGAACTGATTTCACAAAATTAAACACATTATGTAGATTAATTACTCACAGTTAATTTTAAGTCAGTACTGATGTTAATAACAGCTACAGCTAAGAAAACAGGCAATTCAAGTGTGAACCAATAAATCATTGATAAAATAACGTTTTTCAAATTTATAAAGCAGACGTTATTAAATACACACAGAACAGGAGAGGGTACCATTTGTACTGTTTCGCTACGTTCACACAGCATGTTTTCAGCAGCAGAAGAAGCAGGTTTCCATGCATGGTCAATGGTTGACGCGCATCAAGGTGAAGGATAAGGTCCTGCAGCGCGTCTAGAGCAGCTGAAGCAGCGCCTCATGAGCTTCGGAGCATCTGAGAGGCGTGACGCGCTTCACTAGCAGCAGCTGCTGGAGTTGGAAAAATTTAGCTTTAGCTTCTGGAGAAGCTGATCTGGGAGCTGGCAGGGAGACAGACACAGCGCTGCTGATGCAGAGCGCTATGATCACTCATCTGAAACAGTTGAAATAGAAAATGTAGAAACCTTCTGGCAAAAAATTTCCGTCTTTATTATCCTGGTGTCTGCAGTTTGGATTATGTACATGAAAAATGCTAACATTTATCTCCAGCCGCCACCATCAGTAGAGGAAAACCCCCAGGAGGCGAGCGGGCCTGAGGCAGCTGCTGCTGGGGATTCCCAGTGACAGCGCACCGCCGGTATGTGGGGGTCTGAGCGGCTCCCACAGAGAAATAATCTTTGAAGGCAGGATGGTAATCTGGATGAACTGACTGCACAGACCATGTTTTCAGGAGGACTTTCTCACTTCAACATAGATTCAAACTACTTTTTATCCACTGATCACAGCAAATACAGCAAAGCTGCTCTCTGCCATTGAACACAGGAGCAGCAGAAGCATCAGCATCTTGACTCACTTTACTGGAAGTCTGACCTTAATGTGGAAAAGCATCAGTAATGTACCAGACGCTTATTTGCTGCTGAAATTGCATGAATTGTGAACGTAGCATTAGTCTGTCTTATGAAAAGGGGGAATGTGACCCCCTATGGGAACCTATGGTCCTGTCACACCTTGTCGATTAAGCCAGCGTCTGCCTGACGTCCCAGAATCTCCTAAAACGCTGGCATACACTGAAATTTCTATGGATTTTTCTATTTTGGGCCTAAACATAGAGTATTCATAATGAGTCCAGAACTTCTGTCCAATGACAGCCTAACTTCTGCATAAGGCAGGGCAGCATAATGCCCATGAAATGATGCACAAGCCAGTGTCCTGAAGGGGGGGCAGCGATGCGCCTGGAAGCGCCCAGCCTGCAGAAAAAGATTTCTTTGATCAAGGTTTTAATCTAGCTGCTGTTTACTAACCTGGTAAACCAGACTAAATGGGAGATGAAAGGTTTTATTTAGTCTGGCCCCGATGAATGAGACATCGGAAGATTGTTGATGAGATCAACCCGTTGTTTTTCAAACTATTTATGTGCCTATTGGCCAACGCTCTGACCAATGAGCACGGATACGCCATTATACAGTAGCTGGAAGTTAGAAACACATTCAGCGCTCGTCTGGAACACGTCAGATACGTTGATATGCGTTGGAGAGAAGTTCTGGATAAGTTACGCAGAAGTTATGCACAGAGTTACTCAGAGATTTAGAATAAGCTAGACGCTACGACTGATGAGCAACTGACACTGAACGCATGTCAACCATCAGATAACTGACCTGGAATTGATGACCCATTTATGGCAGACGCTGTGCGTATGTCCACGTGGTTCAGCGTGTTTCAGCGTACTGCAGCGTACCCATAACATATCCAAAGTTTGCCAGATTTTTCATACGTCAGGCATACGCTGGTTTAAATCATGAAGGTGTGACAGAGGCATTAAATAAAGCAAAGGGAGAATAAATCTAATGACTACAAAATAAGGAATGAGCAACGGAAAAACTGGATGATAAGAAAATGAACTGGAGATAACTGAAGCCATGGAAAACCTAACCTAAAGATAAGAGAAAGAATAACTATAACTAGACCAAGGAATAAATAATACCAACAATGTTGAAAAAAGAGATAACCAGGAAGAACAAAATTAGGAATACAAAATTGATCTAAGTCTAGAGAACACAGAACAAAACAAAACTAACTTGAGAACCCCCAAAAAGAAAACTTAAACTGAACAAAAGGTCCAAAATGTAAGATTAGAACACAGTTGCCTTATTGTATCTGAACACAACAGGATATATATGCTGCTTCGATTTTCATTTTAAAGCACCTTCACTTTATTGTCCCTTTATTTTTGATCTTTTTACATTTTTAGACACCAACACATCCTTCATAAAGACCTAATTAAAAGAGCTGGTCATTTTTAGATTTTTCTTTGTGTCTTTTCGTTTTACAGATCTATCGCCGTTGCTGGCTGGTGTTTAAGAAGTCATCGAGCAAAGGACCCCGCCGTCTGGAAAAATATCCCGATGAGAAGGCTGCCTACATCAGAGGATGTCCTAAGGTGAGTGTGTGTTCTGGTGAAGGACAGGTCTATTGCTCTCTGTGACGGAGCAAAGGAATGACATGTTCACACCACACACAGGGACAAAAGAAGGCAGCCAGCCTTCACATCAAAGTAGGTCTTCTGAAGAAAGTCGAACATGTTTTCCTGCCCTCACTTAGCTCCCATCCCTCCACCTGCTGGTCATTCTCTGTCTGGTGAACAAAACAGAGCAGCTGCACTGTAAAAAAAAAACTATATAAATAACTCTATATATATCTATATAAATAAATAAAATAAGTGCATTTTTTCTTAAATTGAGGAGGTAAATTAGATACTTTGCCAATGGAAGAAGATAATTTACATTTAAAATAACATTGACATTGACAGATGATCTTATTTACCTGCTCAAATTAACCCTCCATAGGTCACTCAGTGAAATACTTTGAAAATCCAGATTTCAAGTCAATAGCATTATAGGAATATAGGACAACCCTTATTACCTTTGTAACATTAAAAAAAAAATTCATATTTTGATGGCAAAAATTAATGTCATTGGAATAACAAGAAACTCCAACTTGCCTGAATATATTAAGAAAAATAAAAGTATAAGAAATTCATGAAAAACACAACAGTGAGAGAAACCCATTGTTTTTGGTCCAACATAACCATCCATCCATCTTCTTCCTCTTATTCGGGGTCGGGTCGCAGAGGTAGCACCTTCAGTAGGGAGGCCCACACATCCCTCTCCCCAGCCACTTGGTCCAGCTCCTCCGGGGGAATCCCAAGGCGTTCTCAGGCCAGCCGAGAAACCTAGTCCCTCCAGTGTGTCCTTGGTCTCCCCCTTGGCCTCCTCCTGCTGGGACGTGCCTGGAACACCTCACCAGGGAGACGTCCAGGATGGATCATAATTAGATGCCTAAGCCACCTCAACTGTTTCCTCTGAATGTGGAGGAGCAGCGGCTCCAGTGGTGTAGTCTTTGTGATACGCGGGTATACGCCGTATACTCACTATAAAAGCTTGTGAATTTCCGTATAACCACTTAAAAGTGCCCAACGCAGCAGGCGCAGCGAGTTTACATGCAAAGTCAATGGTTGATGAGCGTCAAGGCGCAACAAAAGGTCCCGCAGCGCTTTTGAGCAGCTAACGTGCGCGACACGCCGCAAACGCGCTGCTGCTTGAGATGGAAAAATTGAACATTTGCTGCTCGACGGGCTGCATCAACCAATCAGAGACGCTGATCTGGGAGCTGGTAGGGAGACAAACACATCGCTGGTGACACAGAGCGCTATGATCACTCATCTGAAACAGTTTATTAACGCCTAAATTAACTGAAAATGCTGAAACCTGCCGACAAAGCGTGTTTGCTTTTATTATCCTGGTGCCTGCAGTTTGGATTACGTTCATGAAAACCGCTTCCAGCCGCCGCAGTGAACCCCGAGGAGGCAACAGGTGTTATGCCCAAAAATGCACACCTGCCAAGATATGCATGGAGCTTGGGTTCTTATATTAATGATATAAAAACTTTTAAATATACCTCTCGTGGAAAATAAATGTGGTTATTTGGCATATTCATTTACAAAATGACGGATTTTTTAAAATAACAATAATTCCAAAGATTTTGACCAAGGTACGGCTGATTTACTTGTTGTGGTCTCTTGTTATTTACACACAACAATAAATCGTGGTAGCCGACGTGACTTTTAAAATTACAAAGCTTTCTCTTAAGGGTAAAATCAAATGCACATCAACACAGCACAGAGTTCACAGACCAGTGTGATATGGCTTGTAATGTATTTCTGTTTTTTTTTTTTTTGATTAGGCACATTTGCTAGGTTTTTATTCTAAAAATCTATAATATTACAGCAGCAAATTATCAACGTTTTTTTAAAAGCCTGTTTAAAAGCTCCAAATGGGGCTTCAGAGCATACAGCTACAATTGCGCTTTGGTTGTTTTACAGGCAGAATTAGCATTTGCTGATTCTTGTCCTTTAACTACTGATGGATGTACAGGAATACAGTCATACAAGTGTCAACTCCTCTGAGATAACAAGGGTTGCAATTTTTGGCAAGGACCTGCCACAAAATGCATCCCCCTTGTTTTTATATATACTACACTAAGAATAAAGTAAATAGCACAAAAGAATTACATTACTGTGTTTGCAACTGGTTTTATTTTACTAATCCTAAGAATTGTCTCACACACATGAAATTCACACTGGTAGCTCAGTACACATGTGGAAGCATGTAGTAATTGTTACATCTGATACAACTGCATATTTCTGTAAAAAAGCAGGGGATGCAATTTTTGGCAAGCACCTGCCACAAAATGCATCCCCCGTGTTTTTATATATACTACACTAAGAATAAAGTAAATAGCACAAAAGAATTACATTACTGTGTTTGCAACTGGTTTTATTTTCCTAATCCAAAAAGGTGAAATGGAGATGTAAGGTATAAGTTTACATTTAGGTCGGATGTAAGATGTAAATCTTAATTACCTTAATGGCAGGTCCTTCCCAAAAATTGCATCCCCTTCTTTTTTACAGAAATATACAGTTGTAGCAGATGTAACAATTTCTACATGCTTACACGTATGTACTGAGCTACCAGTGTGAATTTCATGTGTGTGGGCCAGAGGCTGCTGTTGAATGGGATTCCTACTGACAGTGCACCGCCGGTATGGGGGGGTCTGAGCGGCTCCAACAGAAATAATACTGCAAGGCAGGATGGTAATCTGGATGAACTGACTGCACTGATGAAGTTTTAAGGTGGATTTTTCCACTTAAAAACATTAAAACTACTTTATTCCCACTGATCACAGCAAATATAGCTGCAGGGCAAAGAAAGGATAGAGCAGGGAGCCTGAAAACCTTAAAGCACTGATCACTTGCATGCAAACCATTCCATGTAGCACAGCTGAGTGTGAAAGAGGGTTCAGCTTAATGAACAATATCTGTACGGATAAAAGATCTTCTCTGTTGTTGTCAAATATAAGTCATCTCATGATAATCAGTATAAATGGGCCTCCTGTTAATCTTCTTGAACCTAGGAAGTATGTGACAACATGGTTAAGAAACCAGTGCTCTGCAACAGAAACAAGAAGACAAGTGAAATATAAGGAGCCTAAGAACAAACAAGTCTGGAACATTTTATAGACACAGTTTTAACCTGCATAGTACTTCTGTACTTACATGTAGTACTTGATACTTAAGCATGTTTTGTTGTACTGTTTTATAGATTCTACATCTTTTCAATACAAAGCCAACTGTAGTACAGTTTGTTGTTCATTGATTCAAATGTAAGCAGCAACAGACAAATTAAGCAATGCTAAATATGCTTAAAAAAAAAAGCTCAATTACATTGCACTTACTGGCGTGCTTATTTCTAAGCACAGTATACCCACTACAATAATGTAGACTACACCACTGAGCGGCTCTACTCTGAGTCCTCCCCGGATGACTGAGCTTCTCACCCTATATCTAAGGGAGAACCCAGACAGAGAGAAGAAAACTAATTTCAGCCGCTTGGATCCGGGACCTCGTTCTTTCGGTCAAGACCCAAAGCTCATGACCATAGATGAGGGTAGTTATGTAGATCAACTGGTAAATCGAGAGCTTTGCTTTTTTGCTCAGCTCTCTCTTCACCACAACAGACCGGTACAGCTCCCGCTTCACACCAGACGCTGCACCAATGCGCCTATCGATCTCCCGCTCCATCTTCCCCTCATTCATGAACTAGACCCCAAGATGCTTAAACTCCTCCACTAGGGGCAGTAAATCCTCCCCAACCCGGAGAAGCCACTCTACCCTTTTCCGGCTCTAGACCACTGATCCTCAACCTGACCACTTAACACTTGGCTACAAACCCCTCAAGTCAGAGCTGTACACCACACCCTGATGAAGCCAATAGAACCACATCATCTGCGCATAACAGAGATGCAATCCTAATGCCACCAAAACAGATCCCCTCAGCACCTTTACTGCGTCTAGAAATTCTGTCCATAAAAGTTATGAACAGAATCTGTGACAAAGGGCAACCTTGGGGGAGTCCAACCCTCACCGGAAACGAGTCGACTTACTTCCGGCAATGCGGACCAGGCTCTGACTCCAGTCATACACAGACCTAACAGCCCTTATTAGCAGGCCTGGTATTCCATACTCCCAGAGTACCCCCCACAGGACCCCCCGAGGGACACGGTCGAATGCCTTCTCCAGATCTACAAAACACATATATACCGGAGCCCCCTGGCTCTGCTTCCTCAATGGAAGACATGTTGGTGGAATTAAGGGGGTCTTCGAAGTACTCCGCCCACTGACATATGACATCCCAAGTCGAAGGCCAGTAGCACACCACCCCGACTATAAATAGTGCTGGTACTGCATTCCTTCCCCCTCCTGAGACGCCGGATTGTGGACCAAAATTGCTTTGAAGCTATACGGAAGTCTTTCTACATGGCCTCTACAAACTCTTACCATGCCTGAGTTTTTGGCTCAGCGACCAGTCGAGACACCTGCCGCTTTGACTTTCGATAATTGTCAGCTTCTTCTGGAGTCCCACAGGTTAATAAAGCCTGATAGGACTCCTTCTTCAACTTGACAGCTTCCCTCACCGCTGGTGTCCCCCAGCGTGTTTAAAGGGGTTGCCAGCGCGACATGCACCAACAACCTTGCAGCCACAGGCACGGAACACGGTCCACTCTGTTCAAAGCTCTCTCGAAGATGGCAGTCCAACCAAAATAGAGCAGGTGTCTACTTGTGCCGGTTCTATGCAAGCACAGCTGTAGAGAAATGTGCGCACTCTGAGGGGCCCAATGCATTTTAATGGGCTCTGAGTGCCAAAACCTCATATGACCTAATTTTCTGTTGGATCTGACATAAACCATGTCAGATGTGTTCAGGTCTTAAGAAACATCCCAGTGAGCAAAAATTGGTTAAAGAGACATTGTAAAGACAGCATTAGGTTGAAAAGGGAAAGGTGAAAAGGCGTAACTTTCAGATTGTTAAAAAGATGTTACAAACTGGGTTTGTAACATCTTTTTAACGTCTATTCTTAGACTAAAGTGGAACTAAATCAGACCGACCAAACAGCAGAATTTTCAACAACCTTTTCTGGACTAACTCCAGACTATTACCGACCAGATTTATCCTAAAAACCAATGTCTGAAGCATCACATGTCTTCAGCTCTGCCACTAGGGGCAGAGCCAATCATTTGGCTGCCTCTAGTGTTGCTTTGTGTCTGGCTAATATAAGGCCCAGTCCCATTCCTCTCACTTGGCTCTGAGAAGACTCTAGTGAGTTCCCTCCACAATAAAGTATACTCAATGAAGGAAGTGCAAGTGAAGATTTTCTCCCTGAGAAATGGGACATCACTAGTTGCAGAATTACACCACAGCCCTCCCTTCACAATCGACGCAAAATTCACTGGTTCATCTTCTCGGCTGCTCACCACCCTATTTAGATCACCTGCTGCAGTCAAAGCCTGTCCCTTCCAACACCCCCTCCTCACTTCATCTACAATTACTTATTCCCAAAACCAACACTGCCTTTGGTCTTGCTTCTTTTCAATATGCTGCCACTCATGACTGGAACACTCTGCAAACATATTCTTAAACTGGATAGACTCATTTCAATTTCAGCCTTCAAAAAAAAATATATCATCCTTGTTCACAGACACTTGCAGCTGATTCTCTACAGTCATTTTGGGTTGTCTGTTGTGTTTTAAATTGTATTTTATGTAGGTATTACTAATGAGTTGTGTTTATTTTAGCCCTACTTCCCATTCCTCAGTGGTTACTCCACTTGTCAGGCTGCCATTGTAAATAAGAACTTGTTCTCATTGACCTGCCTGTAAAAATAAAGGTATAATAATGAAAATATACCAATGACCGCAGCATATCTTGAGGATCTGGAGAGTTTAAATTATGAAAAATGAGAAAACAATTTTACAAGGTATTTTGTGAAACAGTGAGCACAGAACATGGAGCAGAAACAATGAAAAGTAGAAAATCTATTTGCCTAAATGCACAGGAGGGAAGGGAGAGAAGAATGAAAGGCAGGAGACATTTTGAGACTCTAGAAACTCTTGAAAAAACTCACTTTAATGTCTTACATGTTGATGTTAGGCGATGATAGGGCGACAGTGGCGTTGGATGTAGAAGTTTGCCCTGAAATCGAAGGATTGACGGTTCAAGCCCTGACTCTGACTTTCAGTGTCGTTGTGTCCTTGGGCAAGTCACTTTACCTGCATTGCCTACTGATGGTGGTCAGAGGGCCCGGTGGCGCCAGTGTACGGCAGCCCCGCTTCTGTCAGTGAGCCCCAGGGCAGCTGTGGATACAATATAGCTTGCCACCATCAGTGTGTGTGTGAATGGGTGAATGAATGTAGTGTAAAGCGCTTTGGTCAAGTTACCTGAATTGAATAAAGGCGCTATATAAGTACATGCTATTTATCATTTACCATGTTGTTCTACGGCAGTCTGAGGTTAGAACAGGATGTCTTAGGTAAACATTGTGTTTTTAGCTATTTACTGCATCTCGAAATGTGCTTCTTAATCCTCTTCATCTTCCTATACTTTTTATATAGGTAACAGAAATCAGTAACGTCAAGAACGTCACCAGGTTACCTCGGGATACAAAGCGACAGGCGGTAGCCATTGTGTTCACTGATGACACTTCACGCACCTTCACCTGTGAATCAGGTAGGATTGACCAGCTGCAGGAGCTTTTCCATGTATGGGATTTGGACAGTAAAATGGAATGATCTAGATGTGTTATGTTTCTTAGAGCTGGAGGCAGAAGACTGGTTCAAGATGCTCTCAATAGAGTGCCTTGGTTTGAGGCTGAATGACATCAGCATGGGAGAACCTGACCTCCTGGCTGCTGGAGTGCAGTGTGAACACACAGGTACTTTACACACACACTCAGAGAGGGAAAGAGGCAACTATTCAATTCAATTCAGTTTATTTCTAT